CTTAATTGAACAAGGTGAAGTTACAAGCTGATTGGCTACCATACACAGCTGCACCAAATTCTGAGTACACCAGTTTTAGTAAATCAGAGATGATGAGGGCTTCCTTTGCACCTTTGATCCAGACATATCTTGGAGTGTAGCACAGGGAGTGAGAGGGCACAGAGTGGCATGAGTGCCAGCAGTCCAATACACTGAAGTTCCTTACTGGAGGCAGACCTGACTGTGATGCGCTCGTGCAGACCAACAGGAAGGGGTCCAGGGAGAGGTAGTCTGAAGGGGAGCTGGTTGGTACAATGGAACACACAGCAGGCTGGAAGCGTAGTCTTGGACAGGATGTGTTTGGCAGCTGAGGAGACAGACAGCAGGCAGGGTAGCAGACCAGGTCATGGTCAGGATGCAAGCCAAGGTCAAAGCAAAGGACCAGCAGAGAAAAGCCATAGCCAAGAACTAGAAGTAGTCAAGTCAAGTTTTGGCAGGTACAGGCCCTGGTCAGGAGCTAACCAAGGTCAAATCAGAAATCAGCAGAGGCAAGTCATGGTCAATAGCAGGAAGGCAGAGCAGAGACAGGTGGGGTCAGCAAAGGTTTCAGGGTAACAGCAACTTCTTGACTCCTTTTTGGTCCTTATAAAGACCATCTGGTGCCCAGACTGGGGTTACGTGGGTGTGCCAATATGCCTGCACACATGTATATATGAACTGCCATGTTTTCACAAACAAACTTGCATATGCAATCCCTGGAAATTACCTTTGTACTGTGCATTGGTGCACACGCAAGCCATTTTCATGCTGTCTTCTTTCTTGTCGTAAGATTCCTTCATTACTGCATTGCACATCAAACAATACTGAGGGATCAAACATTTTCAGTATAGCCAGGCATGTGTTTTAGGATGTTTAAATTACACTTCTGTATCTTCCTCTTGTATTTGATGCCTTGTGACCTTATTAACCACAGTAGCTAACCTAAGCTGTATGGTTCAGCACAAAAATCAGAATATTACCTTGGAAATGTTAACCGATACAGGCAGGTACTGTATTCTTGGACTTCTTTTAGTGAACATATGTTTTCCCTTAAGTAACCTTCACAGTGTAAATGGTTAATTATATCAAGATCCTTGACTATTATCTCTAAACTGTAAATGTTACATATAGCCTTAGGTCATTTGTATATTCATATATGTTATTTTCATATCCGCAACCTGTAAAGATGCCTACAGTCATAAGTTTGTGTTCACCCAGTTCATCTGCTTTCAGATAGGTAGAATGCTAATACTCCCCTTTAGAAAAAAAATCAAAAGACTGAGTACCTTGGCCTTCAGGCAGCACTGACAAGGCTTTCTTCAGGAGCAAGAAGAGAAAATATTTCAGCTCTATTATTATCCCTTATATAAAGTGTACTTCTGCATAGAATATGCAAAAGTATTTAAATATTTTGAAAAAGCAGTAAAACAACTTTAAAACAAGCCCTCATTCACCCCTGTAGCTGCAAGCACTGTAGAGAAATGAATCCTCGGATTTATAACAGAGGCACTGAAATCACAATTCCTCTCCCTTTACATCAGAGGGCAAGATTTTCTGTCTATAAAAGTAAACATACAGCAACTGCTAGAAACTCGTTAGCTGTATAGGTTGGCTATAGTATGTTTTAAACATATTTTTCTTTGTAAACCTGTAATGTCCATAGTCTGGGTAGAGATGTTCTTTTAGACTATTAAAGGGTATCTAAATGAAATTATTTTTAGTTGTAGATACTGGTGAAAGGTTAGAACTTATAGTATGTTAGCTTATTGCCTATGGAGAAATAGCCAGCACACTCTAAATACAAACAAAAGTATATTTCCACCATTGTCCAACCATGAGCTCTCAGCATGGTAAGTTTGTCCAGGGCCGCTTATATGCCGCCGATCGGCGTTAAAGTGGTTCTAAAAGCTCAGGGTTTTTTACCTTAATGCATGCTATGCATTATGGTAAAAAACCTTCTCTGTTACAGGATCCCCCCAGCCCTCCCTTATTCTTACCTTAGCTTGATTTGATCCAGTGACATGCACAATAGCAGTGGCTCTTGCTGCTGTCTCCCTCATAATTGGGCAGATTGATAGCAGCGGGAGCCATTGGCTCCCACCCCTGTCAATCAACTCCAGTGATAAGGGGGTGGGGCCGAGTCCCACTGTCTGTGTCAATGGACACAGCAGCGGGGCTCAGAAAATGAGCATGCATGAGTGCCCCATTAAATTGACAGGACAAATCTGTGTACTACATGAGCACATAGCCAGTCTGTCAGATCCATTGTTATTGTTGGTTGGTAGGGGATCAAATACTTACTTTACTCATTGAACTGCAACTCAATTTATAACATTTGTATCATGTTTTATTTTTGGATTTTTTTGTTAGTATTCTGTCTCTATCATTTAAAATACACCTATGATAAAAAATTATAGACCCTTCATTTATTTGTAAGGGAGCAAACTAACAAAATCTGCAGTTGATCAAATAATTATTTTCTCCGTTGTAGAGATGTTTGTTGTGGGTTTTTTTTTTTTTTCATTTTCCTTTACAATTGCTTTAAGGCCCACCTGCCGAGAGACCGCATATATGCGTACAGAGAGCGCAAAGTGGTTCTAAAACCTAAACACTTTTTACCTTAATGCATTCCTTGCATTAAGGTAAAAAATGTTTAGGCTAAAGCAGGGGTGGGCAACTGTGGCCCTCCAGCTGTTGTAGAACTACAAGTCCCATGAGGCATTACAAAACTGACAGTTACAAGCATGACTCCCAAAGGCAGGGGCATGATGGGACTTGTAGTTCACCAACAGCTAGAGGGCCACAGTTGCCCACCCTTGGGTTAAACTATTAACCCCTCACCCCCTCATTTGATCCAGTGCTGTGCACATCTGCAGCGGCTCTCTCCTCTTCCCCCCGCTCTCACAGGTTTTGCTGAGAGCAGTGGGAGCCATTAATATGCACTATTGTCAGGCAAATCTTGTGATGAGGGGGGCAGGGTCAAGCCTTGCTGTCTGTGTCAGCGGCTTCCTATGGTGGCACATTGAAAAGAGGCAGAGCTAGGAGCACTGGTTGGGGACCCAAGAAAAGGAGGTTTGGGGCCACTATGTGCAATTCCATTGTACAGGGCAGGTAAGTTTAAACCTGTTTGGTATTTAAAAAAAAATTATAAAAAGTAATACTTTGCAATCAATTAAAATACATTAGTAGATGGAAAGTCAGCTTCCTAACATTGGCCCAAATAATATCCCTAGCAATGCTTTGCCACCCTCACGTTTTCATGTTAAATAAATTGCCATTTTAATAAATTTGGTTTTACTGGTTGTTTACGGTCACATGACCAATGATCCTTTGTCATGGTCCTCATCATGGTGAGCAGGTGACAGAGATTGCTGATATTATTACTGAAGGAATGGAAGGGAGAAGTAATGTCCATCCAGATTGTGGAGCGCCAGAGCTTAGTCTGACAAATGCATAATTGAGGAAGCATTTAAAGGTGTAAAGAGCTTTTGCATTCGTAGTGAGATGCTAGGAGCATGACGCATTCCAATAGTGGCTATATAGCGCTGTTGACCTGGAACCAGAACTAAAGCAATAAGCAGGGAAATAGCAGGATCACCAGGTCATGTAATGATATTAACCCATTTATGACAGAGTAAAGCATATACACTCACCGGCCACTTTATTAGGTACACCTGTTCAATTGCTTGGTAGCACAAATTGCAAATCAGCCAATCACATGGCAGAAACTCAATGCATTTAGGCATCTAGCCATGGTGAAGACAACTTTCTGAAGTTCAAACTAAGCATCAGAATGGGGAAAGAAAGGGGATTTAAGTGACTTTGACCATGGCATGGCTGTTGATGCCAGACAGACTGGTCTTTAGTATTTCAATAACTGCTGATCTACTGGGATATTCACGCATAACCATTTCTAGGGTTTAGAGAGAATGGTCCAGAAAAGAGAAAATATCCAGTGAGTGGCAGTAGTGTGGATGAAAATGCCTTGTCAGAGGAGAATGGGCAGTCTCGATTTCAGCTGTGACATTCAGAAGGTAAGGTCAGAATTTGGCATAAGTCACATGAAAGCATGAATCCATCCTGCCTTGTGGTGTGAGGGATATTTTTCTTGGCACTAGCAAGGTGTACCTAATAAAGTGGCCGGTGAGAGTATGTGGTGGCAGGGCAGGTGGGCCTTAAAGGATAAGTTCACCTTTGGGAACATGTTACATGTTCCACCCGTTTTTAGCATCATGTTGCCATAGCTGTAGCCGTGCCCACTGCCCCTCTGACAGATAATATGGGGAGAAGTTTTCCCGTACTATCTGTCAGATTTGAAAACAGCATGACCGTACAGGGCTCTGCCCACATGGCCGCATCATTCATTCACAGACTTCCGCAAATGAATGAAATGCAAGTCCTGGCAGCCTCAGCGGCTGTGGGCTTGTAGTTTTCAATTAACTACCATGGCGCCATACGGCAAGGAGATATTCTGACAGGTCTGCAGGAGCCCGGCATGGCATCAGCTGTCCCAGTACACTGACTGAGCTGCCGCAGATAGCTTGCATTGTGATCAGGTGCCAGTGAGATAGGCTCCTGATCATGGAACAACTGTGACAGCCAGTCACAGTGATTTAATGATCAGGAAAGCTGCCTTTGCCTTCCTTCTGGGAAGTGACAGGAAGGGGTTAAATAAGGATAATTTATAGACTATACTTTTTAATGTGCACATGTTATTGGAGCCTTGCAACTAGTGGTACTATTTAAGTATGGTTCCGTTTTAAAGTAGGTTATAAATCTTTGAAAATGTCTGAGTTTTTTCTGGGAAGAATGGTGCAGAATACAGCATTTGTAAAAGCATACCTTCGTACCACTATGCATCAATGGCAGCAGAAGCAAAGAGTAAATGTTTAAAACATGCAAATAACTTTCTGACTTTCCAATGTGGATGCAAACTTTTGCTGTGTTATTTGATAACCTGTCTACAATTACTTTGTTGACAGTTCGGAGGGGAGATGTACTCGCAGCTTGGAGTGGTATTCGTCCATTGGTCACAAATCCCAATTCTGCAGACACGCAATCAATATCTCGCAATCACGTTGTTGATGTTGCCGAGAGTGGTCTTGTCACAATAGCAGGTAACATAATCTTCTGGCAAATAGACATTTTCTGCCAGTATTGACTCTTCATCCACAAAGGAGAACATTTTATTTATTTCCTTGCTTTTAGATCTTTGTTTTTAAGCACAATTCCAGCCAGAATTAACAAGATGAAAAAGAATACAATAACAAAACCAGCCTTTGCTGCAATATTCACTTTCAATCCAGATATTTTCCCACTGTACTTTTTTCTGCCACTAGATGTCTTCGGTTTGAGAGCTAGCATTATCCAACTCACTACCTATGAACACTTCACCCAGATCCGGTGATTGAATAGTGAAAGGAGAAGCTGCACAATGATGATTTCATATATGTCACTATGCTTTCTCCTCCTATTAGCATGCCTATTGTCATCACATAAAGGGATTGGCTCCTTAAGGCCCAGCACCTTAAAATTTGTTAAAGAGCCAGTCCACACAAAACTGATATTTAATTTTTTGGTACATGCAGCTGAGGTAAGCCTCCTAACAGTTTCTTATCTCTCAGAGGCTCTATTGCTGAGATCTCTGCTTCTTAAAGTGATATTAAACCCAGAACCAAAAATGTAATATATTGCAGCTTACCAGTCATTAGATGTGGTGGCTGCATCCGTTTTTCCATTTTAGAGGCTTTTTTTCCCTCTGTTTTCACCTGGTGATCTGGCCAGTAACATACCTCCTGTATTAGACTGCCCCCACACTGGGGGAATGAGCACAGGGGGCACCTATTGACAGCAGCATTGTCAATCTGGGGGGAGGGGAGTGTTAGAGGTACTTGCAGATCTAGATACACTAACTAATTTAAGCTGAACTCCAGCTAACACTTTATAAGCAGTTACATAGTTAGTCTGGCTGAAAAAAGACAAAAGTCCATCTAGTTCAACCATAAAAAAAAACAGCAGTTACAGTAGATTTTTAACTTTTGGGATAAAGGGTTTACATAAAAGTTGATTATTGTAAGCACCCCTGTCAGTAGGAAATGGTTTGTGTCATCCCTCTAACTGCTACATCTGCAGGACAGCTTGTTTTGTTGAAAAATTAACAGACCTACTGGCTGGATCATCAGGTGAAAATAAAGGAAAGAAAGCCAAAAAAATAAATGTAATGCAGCTATCATATCTAAGAATTGATAAGCTGCAATATAATAAATGTTTGCTTTTGGGTTTAATATCACTTCAAGTTTGAGTCTGCACAGACATGTAAATGGATCATGATGGGCAGTTACCCCTTGCCTTTTTAAAATATAACTTTTGGGTGAGCTTGCCCAATAAAAAAAATTGTAACATTTGGATATTGCCACAAGCAACAACGAATTGTGAACATGCAGCTGTTCACTACCTTACATTTGTATAAATACAATGTTTCTGCACAGTCTGAAATTGTTTAGCATAAAGTGTCACTAAACCTAGGTTTACACCTGTGTGCTGGTGATTCAATTGTTCCCACAGCTGCAACCACCCGCACAGTGAAACACAGGGGATGCAGGCAGTTGCCATTAATCCTAATGGCATGCCGCCTGCATTGAAAATCTTGCCCGCACTGGCAACCACACTGTACTTGCAGTTCCCATGTGGACTGTGGTTCCAAAAATGGTGCAGAGACCTTTTCCCTGTTTCAGGAGGAATGGCAGCCCATTCAAATGAAAAGGCTGCCGTACCCGTGCAAACTGCGGCTTTCAGAGCCACACATATGTGAACCTAGGGTAAAGGCAAATATTTTTTTTTGTTTTGGATAGAGTGGAGAGGGATTAGAACACCTGTCAAGTCTTCAGTAGGGAGATTTCCTCTCTCTATTTGTCTATTCACTGTTCTCGTCAAAAGTGAAAGTAAATCCCAAATTTGTGTTGATATCAGAACAGTAATATAGGTGAAATCTTCCAATGGGGACACTAGTCTTGGTGACCCTGGGGACATCCCGGGATTAATTCACTTTATAGAGATTTTCTGTCACTTCCTTTTTTTGGCTATGGGACAGGAAATGAAAAGAAATCTCTGCAATGGGACACAAATGGCAAAACAATTTACAGGGGTTATAACCCTCCCTTGCACTATCTAAAATAAAAAAAAAAAAAGGTTTGCTTTTATAGGCACTACAATAATATACTGTAATACAAAATTATGTCTCAGAGCTGGTGAAATCTTGCAAGAAGACGCTCCAGTTTTCCACCCACTGCATCTAGGCAAGGATGACGTCGCCATTCTTCCAGTTCAATCTTTTAGGATATACAGAACACCTAAAATCTTGTGAGAAGACACTTTAACAATAGACTGGAGTGTCTTCTCTGATAATTTCACCAGCTTTGCACTCCCTAGGAATTTTCCCCAAAGGACTGTGATGTTATGCCCAGCAATGCAGAAGATGCAGGTATGGAAATAAATATAAGTTTATTTTTTTTCCTTTACAGTTACATTTTCGAACTACTAAAGTTAGAGAATTTTTAAAGGTAGAGCCCTGGATATTATATGTGGATCTTGCATAGTACTATGAGTAATATATGAGAATGCAAAAGCCTCTGATTTTCCACTGCTGTTGCAAGACAGCGTGAATTTTAAAAGTGAAAGCCATTTTACGTAGTTTGTCTGCACTATGACCCAGTAATTATTTTTCACTTCTGGCAGATGCACTTTTACACATACGTCCAGCAAAAACATTTTTATTATTTTTAGAGTGGGGAAGGTTTAGAACCCCTGTTAGGTTAATACTGCTATCCGGAACTCTGTTACCGAAACAGACTGCACAGTGACTAAGTGGTTAGCTCCTGCGTCTATCAGCGCTAGGGTCGTCTGTTTGAATCCAAACCACAATACTACCTGCTTGTAGTTAGCATGTTTGGGTTTCCTGTGGGTACCCTGCTTTCCTCCCACACTCTAAAGATATGATGGCAGGTTAATTGGCTCCTGTCTTAATTGGCCCTAGTATGTGTATGTATAATTGTAAGATAGGGGCCTTCTATTGTAAGCTCTTTGCGGTTAGGGACTGATGTGAATGTATGTAAAGCGTTGCGTAAATTGAAGGCTCTATACAAGTACCTGTAATAATAAATAAATAAATACAAAGCTTACTAATTCTTCCCCACTGTATCCAAAGTAAAAATAAAAACATTTTGGCTTGACATAAAGTACACTTTCAGAGCAAAGAATATATTCATTTGATTTCACAAACTAACATCACAAGGAACCACTTTCACAACATCACACATTCACAGACCTTTATAATAACACAAACAGCAACTTTGGCAATATATATGGTAGTAAACAATCAAAATTTCTTACGTGACTCCAATAAATTGGTAAATGATTAGTTTGTGTTGGATTCTGCATTTTGATTATCAACATTTTTTCTTTTCACTGCCTCTTGTTGTGCAGAGTAGTTTTATCAGCCTGGTGCCAGTTATCAATGCTTTCAAAAGAATTCACCATAGCTTGGTTTGCCCTGTCCCACTTCATGTTTGAGCCTTGGTTTCACTTCTGTTACACCTTTTTCAGTGTGCGATCCTGGAAACGTTTCATTAATTTTTGCTTTGAATTGTAATAGGGGGAAAATGGACAACGTACCGCTCCATGGCAGAGGACACTTTGGATGCTGCAATTACAGCACATAACCTGAAGGCTGGTCCATGCAAGACAGTGGGACTTTTCCTTGAAGGCGGAAAGGACTGGGCCCCCACCCTTTACATCCGTCTTGTCCAGGATTATGGCCTAGAGAGTGAGGTATCTACCATTACATGGGAAAGAATTTAAGGTTCTGTGTACTGTATGTTTCATATGTGTCTTTTGAGACAGAAGCTTGTGAATCTTCATGTGGAAGATATGACAGTCTAGTTCTGGTCTTGGTGGGTGGAAAGGGTGTACACAGTCTATTGCTGAGATATCTCACCTACGAAGTCTTTGAAATATAAAATTATCTGTCTCATGGAGGCTGCCATTGCTGATTTCACTTTTTGCAAATGATAGTTCCAGAGCTGTTATGCTGATCTAGTTCACTAACCCAGAACATGCATACAGATTAGGGCTTATTTCTTTCATCTTTGAATCTCTTGTTATAATAATAGACAGGTAACTGGTTATCTGAAGAAATCCAGAACGTTGGCAGTAATGGCAGCTCCCATACTTCTTTTAGGAAAGGTTTACATTAAAAGTAACACGTAGTGAGTAAAGTACATGGACTGTCATTTCTAACATCCTTCAAAATATGTTGTTTATCTGGCTGTCTGACTTCAATACTTTCTGAGCCACTGATCAGGTGACAGTCTGCATACCTCTTCCAAGTCAGTGACTCATGAAGTACTGAAGCCATTGGATCAGAATGAAAGTCTGGTGGCTAGCATTTTCAAAATAAGAGGTCTGCAAACTATTTTCGCACTGCCAACAAGTTACTGTATCAAGGAATACTGTACACCAGGATGCCACAATTTTTTTTCTTTTTATTATATAATGGCCAGCAGGATACAAATTGTTGTGTCTAGGGAAAGGGCCCGTTCACATGTGTGCGCTGTGGCAGTGCGCTAAAATGTGGATCTTAACATGTGTTGCCCTAAGGTATGGCAACGCACCTGCTCTTTGTACTTGCATTGCGGTGCCATTCATTGCAAATGACATCCCATCTCATTATACAGTAGAGCTTAACACACCGCAGTTCACCGCAACACATATACAGTGTGCTGTTTTACACAGTGTTTTCAAATAAGAGTTATGTACGTTTTTTCATCCATTGTGCTTTGGCAGTCCAATTATGTTGAATGGGCTGTCTCAACGCAACACACATTATTGTGTGCCATAACACACTGAAAAATGCTTAAATTTTAATGTTCTTTTTTTGATTCCCATTATATCTATGGGACAGGAGGGAAGGTAAATCTCGGGGCACAAAAAAGAAAAAATACCTGAAAGGGGATCTAATGCTTCCCTATTCTTAAAAACTGAAGAATAAAATGTACTGTCTTTATATATATACTTTTAAAAAACTTCAAAATGATAATATTCTTTTCTGAATTCATATGGTATTTCTATATCATCTTCCAAAGTCGCAAAACATTGTCAGCTTAGTAAAGTTTGTCTGCATGCTCTACCACCAGGGGTTAGTCACGCATCGACAAACTGTATGTAATGCAAAACAATTCATCCGCAGCTCATTTTGTGCCCAAAGTCATTTTTCGAAAGTTTGATATGTTTTAATTATTTGACAAACGCCATCTCCTCAGAAGAGCTAGCTTACAGAAATTAGCATTCAGATCTCTTTTTCTTACCCCCCTCTCCCTTCTCCACGCTGTCCATGACGGTCCCATCTCCATGACATCTAATTCCAACAATACATTCGTTAAATGTGATCACAGTTGCAAAAAGTAGTTGACGCGTCATTAGTCACAGTTACATTGATACATGCATATAGTAGTGTAAGTGCTGGCCTAAGCGTTCACAACACAAGTCGTCTCCTCCCACACAATCAAGATTTAATACCCTCTTCAGTCTGTTTGATAAAAGCTTTGGGAATTTGACATAAGTAGCATGCTTTTTTTTTTTCTCTTCTCCTGCTGTGCTCTGGGGAGCAGAAGGAGGAGAAGATGGAGTGTGAAGTGCATAGTAAATTGTTGATGCTGTCCCACAGGTTGCCCAGCATCTAGCTGCCACCTACGGTGATAAGGCATTTGAGGTGGCAAAAATGGCTACAGTTACAGGGAAGAGGTGGCCGATTGTCGGGAAGAGGCTGGTATCTGAATTTCCCTACATCGAAGCTGAGGTTTGTGCAATACTTCTTTATTACTTTTTGCTGTTGAACAAAAAGTCACACTGTGGTTAAAAATAGATGTAAACCCTAACTGAAACACTGTTTTTAATGCACTGTGTATCATAAACAATTGCTTTTTTAAAAATAATTTTTGTTACAGGTACTCATGTAGCACTGTCAATTTATGCAGCGCTTTATGTATTTTATGTTGTACTTTCACATTGTCCCCTGCCCTCAAGGAGCTTACAAACTAAAGTCCCTAATTCAAATTCATACATACACATATCGGGGCCAATTTAGACAGGAGCCAATTAACCTACCAGCATGTCTTTGGCATGTGGGAAGAAACCAGAGTACCCAGAGGAAACTCACACAGGCACAGGAAGGACAAGCAAACTGCAGGCAGGTAGTGCCGTGGTTGGGATTCGAACCAACAACCCTAGTGCTGCTAGGTGGAGGTGGTAGCCACTGTTTGCTTAATTTTTTTCATTGTTGCATCTCAGTTTAGCTGGTTTCATTCAGTCTTTTTTGCAGCCACTTCCTGTCTACGTGCACTCAAAGAATGCCTGCATGGCACTTCTCAGGACAGGCTTCCCGATGGAGACATCATTGGACTGTGCCTGCATAATGTGTCTTGAAATGGCCACTTGTAATCTGTATCAGAATCCTATATGATAGGGTGACCACAGGAGCACAAGTGAGAAACCGAGGCAAAGTGTTTTCACCCCATAAAAGGAAGTGCTTGCAAAAAGACCTCCATGGCTGGGTCATCAAATAATCTTCTGATTTATTAGGACAAAACCCATAGTGACAAGTGAGAAAACATCTGTCTTTGAGTGCACTATAAGAATACTTTGCAAAGAAAAACTTCTCTTAGCTTAGTGAATGAAGTCATGTTCTGCTGACCTCAATCAATCATGTGCGAGCAAAAATCCTGATATATTATTTTCCTTGTCCATGATGGAGTATTCCATGCTTAAATGCGTTATCATGTTTCAGGGTCATCCATGCTAAATGTATTAGCATATTGTTCCAATTTTTTTAAACCCCTACCTAAATAGTTTTGAGTTCTGTATATTTCAGATACCCACCCAGTGAATCCAGCGTTGTCCAGCTGAGATCCTCTTCTCTTTTGGCAGCACTCCCTCGGTCCTGCACCGCCATGTTCTGCTGTTATGTCATTGAGAGGCTGCTTTCTGCTCCGTGTTCAGCTGGCGCGCCTCCCGATGATGCACCACTAAGACCGCCCCCCCTCTATCTTTACTGAACAGAGGGCTCTGCATCCTGGAATATGTGAACTGCATATCTCAGGAGGCAAAAGGAGAACAGTGCACATCATTTACCTAGGCAAATGATGTGGGGAAAGGGGGGGTATCAGTGCTAGACAGTTTATTAAATAAAAAGGGAAAATGAAGAAAAACAACATTAATCCTGAACAGGATGGGAGGAGGGGTGAAGAGGAGGGATCGTGTTTCAGAGGGTGAATATCCTCTTTAACCTCCCTAGCGGTGTGATTATGTCAGTATTTCTGTGCTCAAAGCGGTACATTTTTTTGCATGGAAATATGTATTTTTTTTATTGTAGGCCTGTAATTTTTAGGCATAACTCACTGAAATCTGTCCAAACAAGAGTCTAGTAAACATCCCGGGTATGTTAAAATTTGAAACACGAAATCATAAATTATAATTTAATAAATAATCATAAAAAATAATATAATAAATTTCAATAATATAATCATACCAAAAACACTGAAATTTGAAATATAGCGCCAAGTTCGCACATCACTGAGCAAAGTCGCAAAATCGTTTTCAGTGTCTGATGACGAATTTCCCCACGAATCATTATCACTCAATTCTGCAAGTAGTTCTAATTTACTATCGCTGTTTTCTAAAACCGCTTTTGACCTAAAGAGATGCTTTTTGGACGCCATGGACATTTCTCAGTTTCCAGACAGTAAAAATGCAGGCAGGGCACAGAACAAAGCACTAGGGACAAAATGTATGTGAAATGGTTTGATACAGTAATGTTTTTATGTGATTTTAGTATATTTAGTGAATGTCACTTTTTGACATTTTTAAATTTCCCGCCGTTCCGTCCCCATACGTCCTGACGTCTCAGGGAATGGAACCCAGAAGGCATCGGCCGGAGGACATTGCCAGGGACACTGCAGGAGGGACATCGCGGGAGCGAATGACAAGGTAAGTGAAGAAGAGATCCCGGAGCAACGCTGCAAGGTATTCCCGAGTGTAGCTCAGGGTTACCGCTTGTGGTGCTGAAACTTTACCCCGAGCTACGCTCGGGAATACCGCCAGGGAGGTTAAGCTAAGTAAAAATTCACTTTGCAAAGTGAAAATGCTCTACTTCTTCAGTAAGCCAAGCATTGTCTATCTGCCCTGTACAAATGAGAATGGAAATACTCTTGTTTCTGTGCAGTGTGTTTAGTTTCTGTTATTCAGGGAAAAAAAATAAACATTTGTCAGTAATTGGGAATTTTGATTAGTTACTCTGTCAGTATGTTTCTCAAATTAGCGCCCGTTCACAAAGCCGTAGGAGTTATTTTGCATGCGTTATTGCACTTCATGCTCATTTTAACATTGAATCCAAGTTAGTTCAGAAAAATAAATATTGCATTAATGGGAATTTTTTTCAGCATGAAAAAAAAAAAAAAAAACGAAAGTCTTTATTTCACATAAATATTTTAACAGGGGGGATAGGGGTGAGAAGTTCTTATCATGTGACCACGTGATTGAGAGCTGGTCCCATAGATGCATATGTGCAGCATGTGGGCATTAAAGCCCCCTCTCTTTTGCCACCACACAAATGCCTTAAGTTAGTGGCAAGAGGTTAATGCAGATTTATTTATTTCACGTAAAGCAATTGAATTAAGGGGACCTTTTATAAATTAATTTTAAAAAATTAATATTTTTTTTCCCCCTAGGGTCTCAATGAGTTTTATTTGCTGTTGGGTGAGGCAGCAATCTTGGGCAGGCAGAGTAGGATATTCATTCTAGGGCCAATTTTGAACAGAAGACAATTAGCATGTCTCTAAAGTTTGAGGAGAAGCCACAGTACCTGGAGGAAACCCACACAAGCACATGGAGAACACGCAAACTCCATGCAAATAGTGTCTTAGCTCAAACTGAAGCAAAAGTGTCAACTGCTAAACCACTGTTCATTATTAGAATATAATGCACAGAAATTTAAAACACTGCACACTAGGCTTTTGTGAACTGTGGCTTTTGTGGAACTAGAAGTATTGACTACTCACAGTACATGCATTATTATTATTATTATGCAGGATTTATATAGCACCCACAGTTTGTGCAGCACTTTACAAAATGAAGGTAGACATTACAGTTACAATACAATTTGGTACAAGACGAAGCAGAGGGCCCTGCTCGTTAGAGATTACAATCTAAGAGGAAGGGTTGAGTGATACAAAAGGTAATAGCTGTGGGGGATGAGCTGATGGAGGAAATAAAAATCAGTTAACTAATTAGAACTTGGATAGGCTTCTTTAAATAGAAGGGTTTTCAGGGATCTTCTAAAGGTAGATTAGAAGATGGACAGATTGGGGTAGGGAGTTCCATAGGATGGGAGAAGTCCTGGGGGCGAGCATGGGAGGAGGTGACACGGGGAACTAGAGAGCAGAAGGTCTTGGGAGGATCGAAGAGAGCGGTTTGGTTGATATTTTGAGACCAGGTTGGTGAGGTAGCTGGGGGCAGAGTTGTGGATGGCTTTGTAAGTTGTTGTTAGTATTTAGAATTTTATTTGTTTGGCGAGTGGATGCCAGTGGAGGGATTGACAGAGAGGGGTAGCAGACACTGAACGGTTGGTAAGGTGGATGAGCCTGGCAGCAGTATTCATGATGGACTGGAAGGGGGATAGCCTATGTAAATGTAAGCCAATGAAGAGGGAGTTGCAGTAGTCGAGGCGAGAGATAGCCAGGGAGTGAGTTAGAAGCTTTGTGGTATCATTGGTTAAAAAGGGGCATTATCTAGAGATGTTGCGGAGGTTGAGGCGGCATGATTTGGACAAGATTGGATGTCTGGCCTGAATGGATAGTTCAGAATCCAGGCTTACCCACACATGGTGAATGAATACTATCTACACTTAATTCAAATCTACAAGCATCCTCTAGTGTCCAAAAGCCATCACTGGAACAGTATAATTCTTATTTTGCCTGTATGTGCCTGTATCTCTAGAGAGCAATGGCTATTTTGCAGTGTTTAGATAAGGGTTTCTCGAGAAGTTGCTCGGGGTTCCTTGGGCAATGAGCAATTTCTGCCTCTCAGATAAGTTCCTACTGACACCATTGATCTATTTAGCTATCTGTAAGGGGCTAATTCTTCCTAATGAGCACAAGTGCAAAGAGCATTCTTCCCACTGGCCATCACACTAATGTATCATGAATTGTAGATATAGTCATTTTTTAGCATGGGTTTCCTGAGACTTGAAAGTTATTTCTAGGGTTTCTCTGTGTTAAAGGTTGAGAAAGGCTGGTTTAGATATTGCTTGGCATTCCCAAAATGCAGTGTGTCAGCTGTCGGTGAGAAAGCATGATATGTTGGACCCAGAAACCAATGGCACAGGTGTGAAGTACACCTGCAAAACATAGCAGTTAGCACCTAGGCACAAGTACTCTTTGAAGCCCCCGGTCTGAATTGTGAAGAGTAGCAGCATAATAGATGTACATAGATTGGATAGTATGACACAGAATATGACTAAAAACTTGCTTGTGAAATGTTTTGCTTTATCAAATGAGGCAGCTGCTGATCTCATATATTGGGGATTCCGTCACAGGTGAAATATGCATTAAAAGAGTATGCCTGCACTACCATCGATGTCCTCTCTCGCCGTACCCGCTTGGCTTTTCTTAACGTCCAGGCTGCAGAAGAAGCTCTGCCACGTATTGTGGACATTATGGGAAAAGAACTGAACTGGAAGGAACAAAGGAAAAAGGTAGGAGAAACCACCATTAATAAAGCAGAATGAAAAGTATTTCTATGTAATATATATGAGAGGTGATGTATAAGAACAGTTTATTGATATTTGATATGCTTTGTTTTTCACTGTTCCTGCTGAGTTTTTGTATTCCATATGTAGGAATGAGTAAAGCTGCTGTGCAGGTGAAATATTGTAATTTAAAGAGCACTTTCACAGGAGTAATACTCTGTAACCACCAATGCAATCCATCAAATGTACCACTGTGATCAATTCAAAAATCTCACACAATTTATGTTAACCAGATATTCAGCTTGCATCCAGCTGTTTTCTAATGATATAAAAGGGACCAGAATTAACATATTATGCTGTTAAAGCTACAAATCTGCCTATGTTAAGCTGAAAATATGGAAAAACTGCAGAGTTAGAAGATACCATTAGAGAAAACAATGTGTCAAGTGAAACAAATCAGTAGATGGACAAAGAGAAAGGTAGCTGAAGTTATATGTGCATCTTTCCTGCTTCCAGGCTGCCTATTGGTTCCTTAATTTGATGGTTGACCTCACTTGACCATACTGTCCAATAAGAATGCTTGTGAGTGGGGGAGGGCATGGCCTCAACTTTGAGTATAACTTCAGCTGCATACTTGGATCTATTGATGATTTTGTGGTGAGATTAAGTCCTCATGCACACTGGACGTTTTTACAGCTTCTGTTTTTGGCTTTTGATGTTTTTTTCTACAGCCAATAAACTCCCAGCATATTATCCTATGTGTCCATGCACACATAGACAATAATCAGCGGTTTTTGGCAGGGGCGTTTTTTTCGCTGGAAAAAACCCCCAGAACTAGTGGGTTTCTAGTTTTTTAGCTGTAAAAATACTCTAATGCTGAAAAACGCCACTAAACACTAATGCAAAAATGCTAAAAAACACTGAAAAAATGTTTTTAACATGACTTTACACAGCTAATGTTACCAGCGTTATTAAAAGTGTACATGGAGCCTTACACAGATTGTAAGCTCTGCTTATGCCATCTTTCAATATAGCTCAGTTTGAATTGCCCAGGGTTTAATTTAAACAAATGAAGTTGTAAATAGCTACATAATAAATAGCACACCAGTGGTCTGTTTATCAGTAAGTTTCTGTTCAGTACTATCCTTGTTTGAGCAGTTCTAAATACACAGACATGAGATCTGATTTTTTTGTTTGTGTGTGAGAGAGAACATCTTGGTCAGCGAGTCTTTCTTACTACTACATTGTTGAAAAGAAGGTAGAAGGAATGCTGTTCTGCATTCTGCATGACCTGCCTGCTGGCTCCATACAGGTAGAAATACTGGACTGACATAATGAGTGAAGAGTAAAAAAATTTGCATCCTGCGCTATTTGGAACAATAAACTCTACCTATTAAGAGTGAATTGCCTCAATTCATGAGTTGTATAATCTCTCTATGTCAGAGGTCCCCAACCCCCAGTGGCTCAGGCCACACAGCAGGGGGTTGACAGCAGGCAGAGTGAGCAAGCACAACCTGAACTGCTATCCTCCGACCACCACAGAGTGCTCGCTCCCCTTCTCCTCTTCTCCTAGCATCACTACTCCCTTCCCTCTCTGTCTGTGGTCAGGTAGGAGAGCTGTGGCAGAATCTCATAGAACACTGATGAGGACCACCCCCCTCCTCCATACCTAAAGAATCTTTACAACTGAGAATAATTAGAGCTCAGGGATACTCAATTAAGTGGAACTGAACCAGAGCCTTCCCCAAAATGTTGGCAAAAAATTTGAATCACACAATTGTCTAAAATATCTTTGTATGTTGTATTATTAAAAGTAACCATTACTGTAAACATCTGAACTCAATAATTTGGTATGGTGTTCACATAGTTTTGGCCACATAGGTAGGTGATATAGTTAGGTATCCACAAATTTTTGGACATGTGGCCATTTTGCACAAGGGCCTCTTGGGACATAGGGACCAATTTCTACTTGATGTGGATAAGAGGTTTGCTGTCATCTAGAGCTGGATGTAGCTCACTTCTATCTATTTGTCACTTAATGTCCAATTAATAGATGTTTTTACTTGATCATCAGTTGAATGAGTCCAAAAATTGGTCTTGCACAAAAGCCCTTTGGTGACACAAAAATTCAGTAATGAAAAAACCAAAGCCTGGGGATGCCATCATGGTCTCCTGTATATGTTTACATTTACACATCCAATAAGATACGAGGCTTTTCAGATTTTATTGACGGTGTGACATAAAAATGTACAGATTTGAGTAGCTGAAATGTGACCTGTAGCAATATGTAATCGTAAATTTAGTTCATTCCTTGTCATTAAAGAAATAAGGTAGCCAGAGACAGATGGTCACAAATTAGCATCTGAAGGATCTAGCTTCCACTGGAAGTGGCACCTGGGTGCTAATAAGATTTTGTCACCTATATGTAATCAGACTTTGCCATCTTCCTGACGCTTAAAAGAGAAACGCAGACGTTTCGGCATCATGACGCCAGGGGGGCTCCGATCTGTCTAGAGAGCTCTAAAAGTATATACATACATCAAAGGAGTATGTTTCATCCCTCATAAAAGCTAAAATATTAGTTGCAGAGAGATGAAAATACTTCCTTCTGATGGGGCACTCTGTAGGCTACATCGGCATATAAAAACTATATTTGTGGCCTATGTAGAATGCCAGGAAAATGCAGGAAATGGTTATGTGGCGCTGGAGTGCGATAACAAAACAGTGATTAATACTGTCGCGATCGGACTGATGCGCTGTTGTTGGAAATTCAATCCCTGACTTGGTGATTCAAGCCGGTCTTGGTCCAATTGACTTTGGGCAGTTCAGCACCCAGAGCAGCCTGTGGGCGGGTACAGGAACACCCCCCAGAGTCAATTGGCCAAGAACTAATGTCCCGCCTACGTCCATATCCCCATTAATTGAGGACCCGGACATTGGGACATGGTGATTCGTATGGAGCTGGTTCGATCGACTAACGGGTTACAGACTCTCTGACTTGCTCCAGTCGCAGGGTAAGTCTTGGTAAAAGTTTTATTCCTTTTTTTTATTCCCTTTTATTTTATAGTGAATAGTCTATGTGTGTCTTCTTGTATTTTTTGGAACTTTTTATATTTTGTACATATTTTATGCACTGCCCACTTTCGGGATATTAAATCTTAAAATTAATAAGTGACTTCTGAGTATTTAAGCACGGGCTTATATCTTTAGAGAGATTACATTGTATTGTATTTTAGTGCCTTTATATGCCCGGTCAAGCTCATTGCCAATCTGTATGCAATTGCACTGCATCAGACCATTCTGCGGATAAACTGTTGGGTGGTGGCAAGCTACCATTTGTGGTGTGTTGGTGTGGGGTTGTGTGAACAGTGGAAGAGTGATTAACACCAGGGTTCTGTCTTGTAGGATAGCTGGAGGGATCCTAGAAGGGTGTGTGATTGCTAGGCTGCTCTTCAACCCTAGTTAGTGCATCAGATTGTATGTAAGATTTGTATCTGCCAGTGTGTGGTCGGTTGACTGGATTGCAGTGGAGTCTCCCTCCAGTGGTGGCCAAGAGGTAGTACGGGCTGTGAAAGGATATCACTGCCGGTCTTATATACGTTTATATATTCAAAGTTAAGTCCCCCTTATTCCCTCTTACCCCAAGTCACGGCCGCATGTGCGTGCCTTGGTTAGCTAGTCGCTGTGGGCGTGGCGTGTGGGTGAACCCATGACAGATGGTGAAAAGCTTTAGCCACTCAATGCCTAGCATTTAGAACCCTTACCATTCTTTTCTGATTGCAAAGCATGTTATATTTGTCTACCTTCTGTTGAGGGTTTTTAGGTAATAGGGTTTTATAATAATGACTCCAGTCTTGGTATAGTATATACAGTATCTCACAGAAGAGCGTACATCCCTCACATTTTTGTAAATATTTTATTATATCTTTTCATGTGACAACACTGAAGAAATGACACTTTGCTACAATGTAAAGTAGTGAGTGTACAGCTTGTATAACAGTGTAAATTTGCTGTCCCCTCAAAATAACTCAACACAGCCATAAATGTCTAAACCACTGGCAACAAAAGTGAGTACACCGCTAAGTGAAAATGTCTAAATTGGGCCCAAAGTGACCACCATTATTTTCCAGCACTGCCTTAACCCTCTTGGGCATGGAGTTCACCAGATCTTCACATTGGAGTCCTCTTCCGCTCCTCCATGACGACATCACAGAGCTGGTGGATGTGAGACCTTGCGCTCATTCACTTTTTTAATTTGAGGATGCCCCACAGATGCTTAACAGGTTTAGGTGTGGAGACATGCTTGGCCAGTCCATCACCTTTACCCTCAGCTTCTTTAGCAAGGCAGTGGTCATCTTGGAGGTGTGTTTGGGGTCGATATCATGTTGAAATACTGCCCCGGGGCCCAGTCTCCGAAGGAAGTGGATCATGCTCTGCTTTAGTATGTCATAGTACATGTTGGCATTCATGGTTTCCTCAATGAACTGTAGCTCCCCAGTGTCGGCAGCACCAAACCATGACACTCGCACCACCATGCTTGACTGTAGGCAAGACTCTCTTGTCTTTGTACTCTTCACCTGTTTGCCGCCACACACGCTTGACACCATCTGAACCCAATAAGTTTATCTTGGTCTCATCAGACCACAGGACATGGTTCCAGTAATCCATGTCCTTAGTCTGCTTGTCTTCAGCAAACTGTTTGTGGGCTTTCTTGTGCATCATCTTTAGAAAGGGCTTCCTTCTGGGATGACATCCATGCAGACCAATTTGATGCAGTGTTGGCGTATGGTGTAAGCACTGACAGGCTGACCCCCCACCCCTTCAACCTCTGTAGCAATGCTGGCAGCACTCATACGTCTATTTCCCAAATACAACCTCTGGATATGAAGCTAAACACGTGCACTCAACTTCTTTGGTCCATCATGGTGAGGCCTGTTCTGAGTGGAACCTGTCCTGTTAAACCGCTGTATGGTCTTGGCCACCGTGCTGCAGCTCAGTTTCAGGGT